TCCCAAATAAAGACAGAAAGACTTATTATTAATGATGAATGCTCGGCCTTCTCCCTCTAGCTCTTTTAACTTAATTAAACCTGTTTCTAGCCTTCTATGTTTTGCCTTGGGTTTTTTTTTTTTTAACCTTTCACTCTGTCCTACTTTCCTGTTTCCTCTGTGTCTGTCTGACCCCTGTCATCTCCCTGCCATCTCCTTTTATTTCTTCTGTCTGTCCCCCTTTGTCTCTGTCAAGCCTAGATTCCTCCTACTTACTCTTTCTGCCCAGAAGTCCCATCTATATTTCCTCCTGCCTAGCTATTGGCTGTTTCGCTTGTTTTTTTATTTTTTGAGACAGGGTTTCTCTGTGTAGCTTTGTAGACCAGGCTGGGCTCGAACTCAGAGATCTACCTGCCTCTGCCTCTGCCTCCTGAGTGCTGGAACTAAAAGCATGTGTCACCATTACCCAGCTGCCTGTTTAGCTTTTTATTAGACTAATCAAGTGCCTTAGGCAGGCAAACAAATGCAGCACATTTTTACATAGTTAAACAAATGCAACACATCTTTGCATAGTTAAATATTCTACAACACCTCTTCTTTAATATTTTCTCTTTCCCAACAGCATCTTTTCCTTCTCTCACTCTTTTGTATATTTACTCCCAGTGTCATCCCTGTCAACAACATTTTATATGCTCCTGTACACATGTTCATTTGCATATGTAGATACAAGTAAAGAGTGCACTGATGTATACTTCCCACAAGACTTAAAACTGGATATCCAAAATAACAGACTCACTAAAGACATGTGAAATGGGGCTGGAGATGTAACTCAGTAGGTGGAGTGCTTGCCTAGCACACACAAAGGCCTGGGTTAGATCCCCATACCCTACCTACCTGGTGTGATAGAGTGCAGGAAATCAGCTCTTGTGAGGTCAGGGCTGGAGGGTCAGAAGTTCAAGGCTAATATTGGCAACATAGCTAATTTGAGGCCTACTTGGGTTACACGAGACTGTCTTTGGAGAGAAAAAAATCAACATTCATGCCTTTAATTCTGGCATTCAGAAAGCAGAGGACTTTGTGAGTTCGAGACCAGCCTATTCTACATAGTAAGTTTCAGGACAGCCAGAGTTACAGAGAAAGACCAAGTAAATAAATAAATAAACTTTCAAGGTTTCTTTTATCATGATTTTCTTTTTCTTTCTCTCCCCCCCCCCCCGCAGACGGGTTTCTCTGTGGCTTTGGAAGCTGTCCTGGAACTACCTCTTGTAGACCAGGCTGGCCTTGAACTGACAGAGATCTGCCTGCCTCTGCCTCCAGAGTGGTGGGATCAAAAGACGTGCACCACCACCACCTGGCCCATGACAATTTTCTTATCCCCACTCAGGAATGGATGAAATGGAGATTGAGTGACTTAGCAACTGAACTACATTATCCACAATGCATACTGCAGATCAGCCTGTAAAAAGAAGGCTAACAGCCATGCAATGTGTTGTAGGCAATGTAGACCTCCTCTTCATGGGCTCAGCAGCCTGTCAGGTCTGGGATCCCGTCTATGACAAGCATTATGGACAAAGTAGTCATCATGATGTTGGTAGTCATCATGATGTTGGCTGAGTCAGCTCCCGATGCACCTGATATGGCTTCACAAAGAATGCATTTGTTGCCAGCGTTACAGACTAGTGGCTTCTGAATGGAACCCTTTCATAATTCAGTCAAGATGTTGATGGTTAGCAGGGGGCTGGCAGTGGTGGTGCACACCTTTAATCCCAGAGGTAGAGGCAGGCAAATCACTGTTGAGTTTGAGGTCAGCCTGGTCTACAATCGAGTTCCAGGACAACCAGGGCTGTTATATAGAGGAAACCCTGTTTGGGGGGTGGGTAGGGGAGATGTTGGCAAGGATGTTTGTCCCCACAGGACTTGGAGAACCCATCCCCACTTACAGCTTAAAGTGGTTGCTAATGCCCCTTTAATTGAAACCTTCCTTCCTTCCTGTTGGGAAGCTCCACCCAGCCCCACTCCTCCCATTCTAAACCCTGCTTCCAGAAAGCTGGCCAGCAGCAACTCCATCCCCAGAGGGCATAGAAAACCTCCTTAATGGTTTCTCCTGGGGCCACCTAGAAATGCTTTGCTCAGATTAAACCTGGATTTATTAATTCAGCCTGATCTGATTTACTGCATTGGCGGCGGAGGAGGAACCCAACAACCAGGGAGCCAATGTTTATCAGTGGTTACTGGAAATTGTGAGGCAGCTTTTGAAGCTGTGGAGCTCTGGGATATTCCATCCAGAAAGTATATCTGTTCCTCATGGCTGAATACATTTATTTTATTTTATTTTTTTTATCATGGGGTTGGAGAGAGATGGCCTGAGTTCAATTTCCCAGCACCCACAAGGCAACTCACAACTGTAACATCAGTTCCAGGGGATCCAACACCCTCACACAGATATCCACATATGCAAAATCAAAAGAAAAAATGATCACAGGTATAGAGATGGTTCAGTGGTTAAGAGCACTGGCTGCTCTTTCAGAGGTCCAAAATTCAATTCCAAGCATCCAATGAAGATGCATCATTGCCAAGGTTCCTTCTGATTGGTTTAATAAAGGGCTGAATGGCCAATGGCTAGGCAGGAAGAAGTTAGGTGGGACTTCCAGGGACAGAGAGGCCTCTGGGAAGAAGAAAGGCAGGGTCAATAGCCAGATGCAGAGGAAGCAGCATTGGCAGTATGAAGAGATGAGGTAATGAGCCACACCACAGAATGTAGAGTAAAATAAATGGGTTAAGTTAGGAACAAGCCTTAGCTATAGGCCGAGCTTTCATAATAAGAAGTCTCCTCTGTGTTGGTATTTGGGAGCTGGCTGGTGGGACAGAAAAGTCCCCTTAGGCATGGTGTTTACAACCATGTGTAACTGTAGTCTCATGGATCAATGACCTCTTCTATGTGCAGATAGATGTACATGCAGACAAAGCATCCTATACATAAAATAAATCTTATTAAAAGACCATTTATTATGTGTTATATGTGTAGGAGGTGTGTGCCACCGTGTATATGTGCAGGTCAGAGGACAGCTGGTTGGTTGTCTCCATCCACCTGTGGGTCCCAGGCAGCAAATACAGGTTACCAGACTTAGCAGCTAGTGCCTTAACCCGCTGAGCCCTCTCCCCAGCCCCAGAGTGTCATTTCCGATATTTCATTCTGTCTGTCACCTACCTTTTGCTTTCACCATCACTCAGGATTGTTTCTTGGTGTTTCTTCACTCCCATAAAGAAATGCCAGTCCTTGTCCTAACCCCATATGCTCTAGAGAATGAAGCTTTGGTATATATCTCCTAAATCAGCTTCAAGAGCACTCCGGTGCAGGTGCACATGGAAACAGCAGAGGCACCCCCCCCCAAGCACAGGTGATGAAGCCCAGCTTCCCTGCTAATGGCATAGGGAGCAGTCAGACGGGCATGGGCATTTCTTGGGCTTCTCATATGGAGCCCTTCCCCTACTACACACTGCCTACTGGGTCCTTTCCTGTTTGGGATCTGATTGTCACCTCATGCCTTGTCATTGCTGATGAGGAAACCCAAGAACTTGGGATGCTAGTTGTGTATCATGATGACACTTGCCCTGGCCCTACAAGTGACCCTCAGTTTTATAGCCCCAAGACCCCACCTTTAGAGTCCTTTTGTAGTTGTTTTCTCAGGCCCTCTGATTTCCTGCATGATCTTCTGAGGCATGGTAATGTTGCCCAGGTGGTAGATCTGGTTTTGGACCTGGATCTGCTTGCCAACCACCACCCTCCAGATTTACCTGAAAGCCAGTGATTGACAGGCACTGTTTAAATTGCAGCAGAATTTATTTCCTATCACTATGCGTCATTCTCAACAGGGTTTCTAGCATTAAGTGGGGTGGAGTTGGGAGAAAGTGGGTTTAGGAACAAGGCACTTTTACTCTTGATGACTAAGTGGTTGAAGTAGAAGTGGCTGGGCAGAGGGTGGAGGCATGCCACCCTGGACCTCTGCACTTGGGCAGGGCAGCCTAGCTCCCCTTACAAGGCAGCCGCCTGTGGCCTTGGTGGAGGCCTGACTTGCATGTGGCTTCTAAAGGATATGTCTTGGGGTTGGGCCTAATGGTGCAGTCCCTGTGGCCAAATCAGATGGGGTTTGTGGAACAGGAGCCTATGGACTTGATGCTGGCCATCAGTGACAACAGTGATATGTCTGTAATCTTGCCATAGGACCTGTCCTTTGTGTGGCTCAGGACTTGACATGATGATCCTTGTCTATCTTCAGTAGCTGGACAACTGGCAGTGACACTTCCCCACACATCCGTCCTGCTACAGCTGAATGCTAGCTAAAACATTTGTCAGATGCCAGTACCCTACCCTGCCACCTGAACCCTGCCATGCCAACCAAGCCCTGCCTTGGTAGTGGTTTCTTTGCTCTTCCATGGAGCAGGCCTGGTAAGACTCTGGAGAGATGAGGTGACAGGAAATCAAGGGGCTGAGGAAGCAGGTACAGAAAGACCCTAAAGTTGGAGTCTGGGGAGGGGAGTCAAGTCTTGTAAAGTAACCAGGTGGAGGAAGCTCAGGTGTCCCCTACGGTACCTTTCATTGGTACCAAAGAGGGAGAGTGGGTACCATTGCATTTCACAGTGTGACTTCTGATGTTGGAACTGCTGGTAGATATGGTGTTCCATCTCCAGACTAGAAAAGATCAGTGCCACCTTCAACTTGGAATGACCTGGAGCCTATGTGTGCTTTTGTGTCTTGGGTAAAAAGACAGAGAAAGAAAATTTCAGTCATTGCCTCCCTTTTTTTTCCCAAAAAGTACATCAAGTCTGCAGGGGTGTGGACATTTGTGTGTGTTAACTTAGGTACATAAAATATCAGAAATCCAAGAACCTGAGGAAAGTTTTTATAGGGAACTATAGATATGTTCAAATATGGGAGCTGGAGATGTAAGTTCACTGCTAGAGTAGTTGCTTAGTATGCATGAGGCTCTGAATACAGTTCCCAACACCAACAACAACAAAAAAAAAGTTTAAATATGTTTAAACTGTCTGGGTGGGGTCCAGAGTAAGGGTCCCAGCCCCCAGAGGCCTGTGCTATTAAAAACAGGTGGGCTGTAGAAGGACCATCAGAGCTGTGTGGATAGAAATCTGCCACCTGGCCTGATTTTCAGATCTTTTACCTGAGTTGAATATAGCTGGCCCATAGCAGGTAACAGCACCTCTCTGGCCGGCTGTATCCCAAGACATAGATCCAAGGCATTTTGCTTCTCAGCCCAGAGTTTTATGTGTTTCTTCCTTCCAGTTTGTGATCCAGCAGAATCCTCTGGGGCTTGAGCCTTTTGGCCTCCAGGACTGTCACTGGTAGATAGCTGGGATGCAACAGCCCCCTTCCGAAATGCCCTCAGCTGCTGGAGAAGCTGGCTCTTCCCTGTACAGTCCCTGTGACACAGAAAGACCAACCTAACCCCTGGCATCTGAAGGCCAGAACTCCCAACCCTGAAAAAGGAGGAACATCATATGTAGTTTCAGTTCCCACGCCAAAGATCCAGCAATGTCTGGCAGCCACTGAGATGCCAATCCTTGTGGATTTTCCCCTTAGCAATGTGTATTGCCTTGGCTAGTTTTATCCAAATCCTGAGCCACCACATAGTTGGCATCAACAGCATTTCCCATGTGCTCTGAGGTAGGAACTACAGTTCTCTCCTCTATCTGGATGAAAACACCAAGGCCTGAGGAGATGAAGCAATAAGCTGAAAGGCCAGTCTGAGCATGGCCCAGTTCTCCTGGCTGGAGCTGCAGCCATCATAGGAGGATCTAGGCCTGGTGCCTGGCAACAAGATAGCTAGTGCCTCAGAGTAGGGCAAAGGAACACACTGGCCTTGATTCCCTTTGCTTGAATGAGCAAGGCCTTGACAGGGGTGTTGTGGGAGCAGGTAAAAAAGGAAAAGCCAAAGCTCTGTAGCTGCATTTGTATCAGGCTCCAGCAGGGAACCTCACAAGCCCCCCCCCTTTTTCTTGGGATGTCTAGATTCTACATCTCAGCTCTGTCACATACTTCACAGCCTATGCCTTGAAATTCCCAGTGCTGAACTGAAGGCAGCTATGACCCACATGTCTTGTTCATCCCATGTCCACAGTCTGGGGCCTCAGGCATGTCCCTGATTGGAAACTGCTCTTTAATTTATAGTTTTTTTTCACATCTGGCTAACAACTGACCCTACATTTTTCTCTTTCCTACTGCTGCGACCAGCAGCAGGGGAAAGATCATATTGGGGAACTGTTCTCAGAGGCTGGGGTGGGGAGCTTGATGTCACTCTTGATGCCTGGCCACACAGGCTTCCCATATGCCAGGTTATAAAACACAATGATACCCACTGCCACCACACCAGACATCTAGGGGGCTCGGAGCACAGAGACAGAGCTTCCCAATGCAGAGGAGGAGAATCTAAGAGGTTAGTTACCTCCATTTCTGGAAGGATGCCCCCTGTTCTGGGTCTGCTGCCTCCACATCCTCCTCACTGTCAGAGGAGCTAGATACAGAGCTGCAAGTACAAGAAATGGGTTCTCAGGGTGTGCCTCAGCCACCTTGTCAGGCCTGCCCCTCACCTGGGGATCCAAAAGGAGTGGTAGCCAGCCAAAGCTAAAGGGCCCCTGGGCTTCCTGCCATTCACTGAAGGAAAAGTACAATGTGCTTAATCCAGATGAGCTTTGCCTCCTCCCCGCTCCCCCTTGGCATGCACAGTTCTTAGAACTGTTTGTACCTCTCCCAGGACTGGTGCTCTTGTGGTTCCGATGGCTCTGTCTGCCGCAGGTCCATGAAAATGGTAGGAGGCTCTGTCTTCAGTCTCCTACTCCCTGCCAGCTTCTGGGCTGGCACAGTTTGAAAGCCAGGTTCTGCTAAAGCACTTCTGCAATGGAGGGGTGAAATGGCCCTTCTATGTGATTCCTGCCACCCACTAGGCGTGTCCAATATTGTGCTCACAGCAGCTACTGACGGTGTGCCTATTGTGTGCTGGTGGGCACTTGGAACCCATCTGTTCTCAAGGCCACCTATTACCCACCTACTACAGGCCAGCACTACTACCCAGAACTAAGCAAGTCTGACATGCTGTGTATCAACTAGGCTTGTGGGCAGGCCTGTCCAAGTGATCAGGAAGCTGAGGCAGAAAGATAGAAAGTTCAAGGCCAGCCTAGGCAACTTAGCAAGACTATACATGCACTTTAAAAAAGATTTTTGTGTATGAGTGTTTTTGTCTGCACACATGTTTATTTACTACTTGTATGCAGGTAGTGGCCAGAGAGGGCATCAGATCTCCTGGAACTGGAGTTGTAGACAGTTGTGAATCAATATGTGGGTGCTGGGAATCAAACATGTGTCCTCTGGAAGAAAAACCATTGCCCCTAACTACTTAGCCATCTCTCCAGCCTCTTAGCAAGACTTTAAAGGTAAAAAGTAAAAAGATGACTTGGGATACCATGTAGAGCAGAGCATAGGCCTAGCATCGGGTTCAGTCCTCTATCATAAACTGTCAGTTTGTTCCACTCAGTTAGGGACCACTTAGCACAAGCTAAACCATCCAAGTAGATCCATAAAATTAAGCAGTTCTCATCCCATTAGCCATATTCCCAGTGCTTAGTGGTCATGTAGAGCTGGTGGCTCTCAGACTAGAAAGCACAGGCCCAGCTATGTCTCTTTCTTCAGCTAGCCAGGTAGAACCCACCACCTCAGGAGAAAACAGTCCTCAGACTCCTGAGCACAGTGGAAGAAGCAGCGTGGGAAAGGCAGGGATGTCGGGCCTCAGGGAACCCCATCTCCATCTCTGCCATTCCCAGCTTTACTCTGCCCCAGCTTGTTTTTCTCCTTGTCTAAGGACAGGTGGCAACCCACAGCTCTTCCATCCTCCAACCTGAGCCAAACTACAAGGTTCTAGGGAAAGGCTCCCATTGGCCTGCCTGGGTTCACTTGACCAAGCCTAGACCAATTAACTTGGCCAGAGGATTATGTGCAAATTCTGCTGTACCCAGGGAAGTCATGTGGGAGGCTAAGAAAGTGCCTATAGTGTTCAGGAATGAGACACAGCTTTGGGACTCCATACACAGCTTTGCCACTGATGGCCTGGGAGGGACATGGCAATCTGAACCTCAGTTTCCCCATCAGTAAAAATAGATAATGGAGCATTTACCTAATTAGATGCCTTATTCAAACAGAAAGTACATGCCAAGTGCCCCAGCAATAGGTACAATTAACACTGCCTAGGGGCAGGTTGGTTCTGAAGAAATGGCTGTGGGTATAGCTGGTGGGAAGTCCCACCTGTTTCTGGCTTCCTGTTCTTCTGTGTCTCTGGGCTTGTCAGCAGATGCCTTCCAGACTCTGGACTGAGAGGCACACAAGAGGTCCAGCTGGTCCAGGAGTGTGTCCTGGGAGAGTCCAATGGTGTGCCCTGGGGATCGCCAGGAGAGGGGGTTGCTTAGTTCAATCTGCCACTCAGTGGCTGAGCTTCAGGCTCCAATGTGCCCACCCGGATCTTTCTGAGGCTTCTAGCTCTACTTGGCAAAGTCAGGGAGTAGTCATGTCTTCAACAGGGGCTACCACACTTGAGCCTGTGACATAGGCTCACAGGTGACCACAGTGAACAGATGTTTGTACCTTTCCCAAAGTAGCAAACAGGCATACGTACATAGATGTGTCACAGGGATGGGGTCCCTTGGGATTGAATTCAGAGCCTTGTGCATGCTGCCAAGCACTTGTGGCTAAGCTACATCCCACCCCCCCCAACTCATCTTTTTACATACTATATCCTTCTATGAATAGACTTTGTTCATTGAGCTGAGTGTATTCTATGATGAGCTTGATTTAGCAACCCCTACTGAAAATAGGCTGTTTCCAAGTTTTCAGAGTTTTGTTTGTTTTTAGGGTTTTGTTTTGAGACAGGATTTCTGTGTGCAGCCCTGGCTGTCCTCCTGGAACTCGATTTGTAGACCAGGCTAGACTCAAACTCACAGAGATCCACTTGCCTCTGCCTCCCGAGTGCTTGGATTAAAGGCATGCACCACCATGGCCAGAAAACTTTTCAGTTTTAAAGTGCACAGCAGTGAACATCCTGGGGTACGTGTTCATACAAGATTTTCCAAATAGAATAGCTTGTCTGGTGGAAGTGGTAATCTCACCACTTGGGAGATAGAAGCAAGAAGATCGGAAGTTCAAGGCCAGTTTCAGCTACATAATGAGTTTGAGCCAGCTTGGACTACATGTCTCAACAAAATAAAACTAAACAGAAAGGATTAGCTTGATCAAAGAGCCATGAGTATTTAAAGTGGAGCCTAGGTCCTACTGTGCCACCCTCCAGAGAGGGTGCTCATTTTATATGCCTGCCATCCTTGCAGAGAACCCACTCCACCACACCCTGAAGCTCTGCAGAAGCAGGACACTGTCACATGCTCACTAATGGCAGCATCTCTGAGGTCTGCAGCATGAGAATTGCCAAGCGAGTTCCAGGCCAGTCTGGGCTACTATGTGAGATCTTGTTTCAAAATAAAAGCCATGGTGCTGCACACACCTTTAATATCACCACTCAACTCTTCAAGTTTAACATATCTGGCCAATACAGCGAGTTCCAAGTTCTAGGTCAGCCAGGGCTAAACAGCGAGACTCCCATCTCAAAAGCAATACAGAGGTAGGACTGGAGAGAGATAGCTCAGTGATAAAAAAAACACTTGCTACTCTTGCAGAGGACCTGGGTTCAATTCCCAGCACCCACACAGCAACCTACAACTGTATCTCACTCCAGTTCCAGGAGATGTGCTGCCTTTTCTTGGTGCATGCATGGATGTGCATGTGGTGGCATATACATACCTACAGGCAAAGCAATTACACAGAAGAAAAACCAAAATAAACTTTAAAAGACTTCTTACTTCAAACAGTCAGTTCAGTGGAGTCTGCTCTGGAACTGGATATGGATATCTAGCCTGTCCTTGCTCCTCAGCTCAGATGTGTGTCCATCTCTCTTGGGGCCTGGGTAGGTGGGGAGTGCTTGCTCAAAAGCCAGGCAGTGGTGGTGTAGGCTTTTAACCCCAGCACTCGGGAGGCAGAGGAAGGTGGATCTCTTGAATTTGAGGCCAGCCCAGGATACAGAGTTCCAGGACAATCAGGGCTACACAGAGAAACCCTGCCTCAAAAAATCAAAATAAGTAAGTAGGTAAGTAAACAGAACTGTTCATAGCAAGGCCATGAGCACAGTGAGAGTATGACATCCTTAGCTTTCATTTTCAAATAGGATGAGAATGTGTGAGTGTTGGAGCTTCTGAAAGGGAGCAAAGACGGGATCTGCTTTCCCCCAGAAGATGAACAGGAAAAAAGAAAAGGGGGGGGGACTGGAGGGAGAAAAAGGGTAGACCACAGGGCAGATCAGTTTGAAGGCCTGAGCAGGTAGCCATGAATATGAATGAAGGATTTTGTAAGACTGGGCAATGAGTGTGCTGAGGAGAGTAAGGGACGGGAGCCCTGGCCATCTCATAGCCCCTGCCACTGAGCACCTTGGAAAGGGGTACTCATGGGAGTTCACTTGCACTTGAGTGCACTTGACTGAAGGTCAGACCTTGGTTTTGGCAGTGGTCAGCTAACCACCACGCAGTTCTGGGAGCACTGTCACCCGAGCAGTCCTGTTGCCCTGGCAGACTCTGAAGGATGTAATCCAAATCCCAGTCTTCAAGATGCTGAAATGATAAAACTGGTGATTACAAGGCTGCAAGAAGGTCTTGCTGTAGTGTGGAGGCCCATAGATGTGGCTCCATTCCATCTTAACTTAAGGTCAGAGAGTTCAAGCCTATTATTGTTCCTTCAAGGTTAAAACACATAAAGTGTGGCTATTGTATGTCTTGCTTAAACAATAGGATATTTGGCCTAAGGTGTATCCAATGGCTGTCTTACCTTGACAACATAATATTTGGTTTAGGGTGTGGTTACTTGATGTTTTGGGTATTAAGGAAGTAATTACATTTGTCTGTTCCTTGGATCATGGTAGGGAAGTCTTTTGCCTTCCCCCCTTTTGATTAGGATATGTAAGAACTTTGAAGCTGGGCGTTGGCGGCACACACCTTTAGTCCCAGCATTCAGGAGGAGGCACAGGCAGGCGAATCTCTGTGAGTTCAAGGCCAGCCTGGTCTACAGAGCTAGTTCCCAGACAGGCTTCAATGCTACACAGAGAAACCCTGTTTTGAAAAACCAAAATAAAGAAAAAGAACTTTGAGTAATAAACTTGTATTTACTAGATGCCCTCCCAACCCCATCATGTTCCTTGTCTATTTCTTTCCTCAATCCACATTCCTCCTTTCAAGCATGGATCAGATAAGTTGGTTGGCCTGAACACAGTAGTTTCCCCCACTTTCACAGCAGCTGCAGCCAGGAAAGGGTAAAAAGATTCATCCATTGTAGTGAGGTAGGCAAATATAGGAAATAATTTAGCTTAGGCATCCACCCCACCCCTCGCATTTGGTTTTGGGTTGCCCACACCTCCATTTTAATTTGGCAGTGCAGTTCCTTCACCTGCATGTACTAAACAGGTGCACACTTCTTCAAACACTGCACTGAGCAACCTCAAAACTGCCCTGAAACCCCCACCTGCATCAAGCTATATGTACTCCCATCTCTCTGGACTATAGTATAAATCCTCCCCCCTCAACTCTGTAACAATCGAATTTAGACAGTTTCCATTCAAGTGTATTCACAGTGTATCTAGGTATGAAGAGGGGGTTATCTTGCCTGAACTGGTTTTGGATGTTTAAGGCAGTAAGGAATAACTGTCTCTACTATTCTTTTAGGGGAAACCCCCTATTTATTGTAATCTTGTACCTGTGCATAACTAGGCATTCAGATGATTAAAATCAGTGCATTATGGGAAAGGAACATGGGCAGTAGGAAAAATGAATACACAATCTCATCGATTAAAACAGAACACTATCCAAATTATGGCCCTTTAGCTGGGTAGTGATGGCACATGTCTTTGATTCCAGCACTCGGGAGGCTGAGGCAGGCAGATCTCTGTGAGTTCAAGGCCATCCTGGTCTACAGAGTGAGTTCCAGGACAGGCTCCAAAGCTACAGAGAAACTCTGCCTCTAAAAAACAAACAAAAAAAGTATACCCACTTAGTAGCCAGCCCCTTCTTCCTTTAGACCCCATAATATAAATCTTGACAGTATATAGCTCTTTAATCTGTTATCACCTAGGTCCAATAAAGTTTATCTTGCTTCTTCTGCACATCTGTGTGAACCTTGTTTTCAATTCTTCGGATAAAAGGGCAAGAATCTGGAAGTACTCAGCCCTGACTCCAAACATACAAGAGTGGCGTTGGAATCTGTGTGCATCTAGCATATGGATACACTGTTGTAAATGATTATACACCAAGCCCTTCCTTTAAGGTGAGACCTGCATTCTCCCCCATACCCACACCACACCAACAACATGGTTTCTTTGTGTAACCTAGGCTGTTCTGGAATTTGCTCTATAGACCAGGCTGCCTTTGTCTCCTGACTGGTGGAATTAAAGGCATGCACTACCACTGCCCAACTAGACCTGCATTTCTTGCCACTTTCTTCCTCAAGTTTTTTTTGGGTCAATACTTTTGGGTACGAAAATGGCTTACCTAGAGGAAAACCCATTTCTTTTTCAACCAGGATCTCATTATGGCTAGCCTTGAACTCTATATGTAGCCAAAGATGACCTTGGATATCTGACCCACCTACCTTCACCTCCCAAGCTCTGGGATTTCAGACCTATATCTTTACATGCATTTTTTTTTTTTTTTCATGCAAGGCAAACACTCTATCAACCAATGCTCATCCTACTCTTCTCCTTTGTTTGTCTGAACTGTTTAGGTTCATGCCAATTTAAAGTGTTTAAGAAGTTTTGCAGTGTGGAACCTGGTGGTTCTAGCATGTGTTCGAACTGGCAAGCTTGACCCAAATGGCTCTGCAGGCATAGATGGACAGGAAGAAAGGAACCTACAATGAAAGGTTAAGTGAAAGTTTTCAATTTCTGCAGCCATACAGATGAGGAAGAATTAAAGCTGTGAGGGCAGAAAGAATAAAATTTCTGGGTTATGTAGACAGCAATGAAGAATTCTGTGCATGTCTGTGTGTTCCCATTCTCAAAGTTGTTAAAGAACATGACATAGAGGTGTATGACCTTCCCATGCTAGGCTGGAACATCTTCAATATGTTCACCTGCACCTGGAAGGAATTGAATTTGCACAGCAAACCAGGGTATTCTTCATAGCCTTTGAAAACTGGGCAAGTATGACAGGTTTCTTTTCTGTCCAGTGGGCAAGGTAACCTTACAGATCACAGCTATGCTGTTCCAAGGCTGCCCACCCACCAGAATGGGAAACAGACTCACCCCTGAGGGACAAGGAGTCACTGCCCTGGTTTACAGATCCACTTTCACAGTAGTCTTCACACTCCTTTCTCTTCTGCAGTATCTCACAGAATCAACTGTGTTTCTGCCAGTTCTCACTAATGTACTTAGTCTGACTTGGACAGCTGGTCCTAGTGTGTGGGGTCTGCCCACATGGAGGATGTCACTTCAGCAGCACTTGCTACTGACTTATGTATAACTGTGTGAATTCAGCACTCATATTTGGGGTCATCTCTCTGTACCCTCTAAAGAAGGTTAGAGTTGGCTTTTCTTCCTGTTGACACCAATTCTTGCTGAGGATGAGCTCCATGCCAGCCTCTCCACATGCTGTTAACAGCAGCAGCTTCTTGCTGGCCAATGGACCTGGGATTTGGGCCTAAGGTCCTAGAGGAGAAACTGGTTCTAGCTTTGACAGTGTGGCAGGACTGTGGCCATGCTGCAGGGGACTGGCCTGAGGGTAGGCTGGCCAGTAGGGAGAGACCTACCTGGAGTGAGAGCACTGGACAACCTTTCCAGGACTGTTCTGAGGATGCTTCTGGCCAGGGTCCTGACTCTGGAGCCTGGCGTTGGTCACCACAGGCTGGGTTCTGGGAAGCCTGGGTCACTTTCTGAAGAATATCCTTCTCTATCATCTTCCTCCTTTCCCTGCGGAGGGCTCTGTGCTTGTCAATATCTGAGGGCTCTGTCTTCAGCTCTCCTTCCAAAGGAAAGGTGGCTTCTTCTCCCTGGGAAGTCCACGGGGGACTCTGGGATCCTTTGGGATTAGACAGGCTTCTAAGGTTGCCTTCCAGCCAAGGTGGGCCCTCCTCAGCCTCCACAAGAATAGGATTGATCTTGACACAGCTCGGGCAAGCCCAGCTAGGGCCTCTTCTTTCCTGAAGTGCTAAGTCCTTCTGTTTTACCTTCTGTCCACTTCTGGGTTCTATGTCTTGTCTCCCAGGAACCAGAAATGGCTAGAAAAATAGAAGAAAAAAAAAAAAAGGCATCTTCTGTGAGCACCTGCAAAGACATACTTTAGAGACAGCCAGCCAGCCAGCCAGACACACACACACACTCACAGAGGGAGAGAGAATGCATGATTAAGTAGAGGTCAGAGGGTAGCTGAGAGTCAGTTCTTTCTGTCCTCTCTGTGGATCTCAGGTATGGAATGCAGGGTATCAGTCTGAGCAGCAAGTGCCTTTTCCCATCACAGCATCTCATGGGCCCTGTTTTGATCCTTTAACAACTTGTCACATCATATAGACATTGCCACTGTCTCCAAGACAATTCCACTCCCTATTGCCCCTCTCCCAGAGGAATTGGTAGTCCTTATGGGAAAGAAAACATTTCATGAAGATCATGTCACCTAAACTGACCAGAGCCCTAGCTGCCTTTCAGATTTTCCTGGGGAGAACTTGCTTCTATGAAGGGCTGCACTTCACACAATGTTGTGGGTCAGGTGGTCTTCTTCAGTCTTTGCATACCTAGTTTGCCTCAATGATGATGGGAAGAACTGAGCAGAGGGAGGTTACTCAAGGGTTGAGTGGCTCTTGGAATCCAAACTGGCCTTTGGAGATGGGTTTTGGCCTTTCCAGTGTTTTCATCAGAAAGTATGTTAGTCACAACCACATCAAGAAGAATGAACAAGTCTGACAGGTTGGGATAGCCAAGGATAAAAGCTGTAGATGGGATTTATTAGGATAGCAATCCATTCTCATTATCCAGCCACTGATATTTTGGAGTTTTGGTTCATTTATAATTTTATATGTATATATGCATGTTTATGTGCACAGTCTGTGTGCAGGAATTCACAGAGGCCAAAAGTGGGACTGGAACCAGAGTTACAGGTGATTGTGAGCTACCATGCAGATGCTAGAAACCAAACCTGGGTCCTCAGCAAGAGTGACAAGCTCTCTTAATTACTGAGCCATCCTCTCCAGCCCCTGCCTCAAACTTTTGATTCTCTTGATTCAGCTTCCAGGAAGCTCAGATTACATACTTATGCTATCAGGTCTGGATAAATCATTGTTTAGATAGAGTTCTTGGTGTTCCCCAGGGACCCGAGAGAGAAAGCTTGTACTGTGTTTCCCCCTTCTCCCCTGACCTCTTACTAGGGGTGCCAGCATTGGGTACTACTGTGATGGCATTTATGGAATACTTCCCTTTTGCTTCCTGCTGGAGCACTTAGTCATTGAATATTCAGCAAGCTTGAGTGGCCATGACTTAGCTAGGTTAGAGAGAGACATTTGAGACAGGCAGCTGTGACAACAGCCAGACAGTGTCTTCCCTTGGGGGAGGAAGAGGCAACACCAGTGGTTTTAAGTACTTTAGACCTGTATTGTTGGTAGAATCCTTGTGAGAATTGCAATCACCACCCCCACTACCCCTCCACAGTACTTGACTTAGTAAGTCTCCAAAGCCTGTGTCCCACAGACCTCAAGTGTAGAACTCCCTACAGCAATCCAGGCCCCAGATTCAACAGGGTCTTCAGCCAACTCCTCAGCCAGGTCTGGAATCAGGACAGGCTGGTTTCGCTGAAAGATGAAGGTTTCTTCTTCTTCTTCACAGTCAGACTGCAGACAGACCAGAGGGCTTCAGAGGAAAAGGCAGCCATGCTTTGCCCCACCTCCCCAGGAGCATTTGGGAAGTTCTCTACAAAAGCTAACTAAAAAACAGGCTCAGAAGCACCGTCTCATGTTGGTGAGATAATAATTTCTGTTTCCACAGGCTATGCAAAGGTCTTGCACACAGCAGTGCTATTAGCAATGCCGGAATCGAATAATGGTAGTGGAGGGGTAGCTAAGAGTGGAGGCCAGCTCACTTTCATACTGACTTATCACTTGGCTGTCTCTAATGGAGAGAGGCTGACACTGGCCTGCCACCTTACAGGGACACAATGACAGCACCAAGGCACTGAGGTACTGTCATCGTCTACTTCTTTTGATGCATTACGCACTGGATAATACCCGAGTTTCAGTTCTGTCATGTTCATCGTTGCAAATGCCCAGGTAGGGCACGATCAGCTGTCTTGTTTCTAAAACCCCTGTTATTCACCCTAAATAACCTATGCTAACCTGGATGCTGAGTCTCTGACCAGAGGATCATCAGGTGTCCCTTTTACCTATGTAAATGGTCACTGGTACTGTGAGTGACCCCAAATCACCTCAAGTAGCAGAATCCCTCCAGGACCATATCATGGTGCCCTGGTACAGTCATTACTCTCACAGGTTGGCACTGGCCCCGACCTGACCCAACAGAGTTGAGCACAGCACAAAGATCTGGGCTTTGGCATTGAGTCTACCTGGGTCCCAGGTGAGAGTCAGGACCAATGCAGGAGAGGATACAAGACACTAATACCCATACTCAGGAGTTCTGGCAAACCCAGGGAGAATCCTAAAGGAAGTAGGTACCCAGAAATAATTCCAGGGACTGATGAGTGGGGTCTCTAGAAAGGAACGTCCAAAGTTGTCCTTGCTCAAGCTGGACAGTTGACATTCACAAAGAAGCTTTTGCTCACCAAGGAGGAGTCTGAATCCAGGGATGGCACCTGGTCTTTGGCAGCCTTAAGGATGGCATCCCAGGGAGAAAGTGCCAAGGACACCACATCTTTGTCTTTGGATGTCATGGGGGTCCAGGCTTAAAGGATCTTCTCTTCATCAGACACAGGATGGGGTGGCAATGTCTAGCTGTCCAGGACAAACAAACATGGGCAGCCTTTCCAAAACCTTGATTATCTAAAGATGAAAACATATCTGCAGATATCTATTTCCCACCAATTTCCTTCTGGTTCTGCAAGCTTGTTTTACTGGGTAATAGGACTGTATGTATGTATGTGTACAGTAAGGAGTATACAAGAGCATGATGTCTATATATGTATGTGATGAGCTTAGTGATGGGCGTATATGAAAACAGGTGCATATATTAACAAAAATGACATACAGATATAAACATATGAAGTGCTATTATATATATTTGTGGTGGTATGAAAGAAAATGGCCCCCATAGGGAGTAACACTATTAGGAGGTGTGACCTTCTTGGAGAAAGTGTGTCACTTGGTGGGGGGGGGGGGCTCTAAGGTCTCCTATGCTCAAGCTATGCCCAGTGGCACAGTTCATTTCATTTTGCCCGTGGATCTCTTAGATGTAGAACTCTCAGCTCCTTCTCTAGCACTGTAAGCCACCACAATTAAATGTTTTCCTTTATAAGAGATGCTATGGTCATGGTATCTCTTCATAGCAATAGAATCCCTAAGACACACACACACATACACACATATCTCCTATATAACAAACATTATTATCTCAATTTTATAAGCATAGAGTGGTTGATATATAGCAAAGAGAGGTTGAATCAATGTTAAGGTCTAGGGATGAACCTCTCAGTAGAGCATTTGCCTGGTACATATAATGTACAGGACATGAATCCAACCCCTAGCACTGAGAAAAGGGGATTTAGGGGCGGAAGAGATGGCCCAGTAGTTAAGAGTGTGAGTGTCCTCTACTGCTCTTGTGGAGGACCGGAATCTGATTCTCAAAACCACTACTACTTATAGCTTCAACCGCGGGGAGATCCTGTGTCTCTGGTGTCCTGTAGTGCCTGCACTCGAGTACACATACCCACTTTCACACACTTACATATAATTAAAAATAAAATAAATCTGTAAAAGTTAGGGGTTTAAGATCCATTATCCAGGCGTTGGTGGTGCATGCCTCTAGTCACAGCACTCAGGAGGCAGAGGCCAGCCTAGTCTACAAAGCTAGTTCCAAGACAGGCTCCAAAGCAATACAGAGAAATCCTGTCTCAAAACAAAACAATCCATTATCCAGGAGATTTTGTTAGTTATCATCACTCAAATGAGTCGCTGGCTCAACGCTACCCTTCGTATCTCACTCTAAAAAATTTGCTCGGCCCTCAGTGGACAAAGGGACTTTAGTGTGGGGTGAAGGCCTAGCAGATTGAACCAGGGCAACAGCAGGGAGGTGAGGGCTTTAAGCCTCTGAATCTTGGCGGTCCTGACTTGAGAGCCACAGGTGGGGACACTTTTGCTATACCCCCAGAGGACGTACAGAATCACCGAGGTGCAGAGTGCCACCCGAGACCGATCGTCCTTGAGGTTGCCAAAGCGGCGAGGCTGAAGGAAGACTTGACCACAGAGGAAAGAGCATGAGCTGCCTCCTCACGGTTTCTTCTCGAAGCCGGTTGGCCCCGCCCCGCGCCAGGCGTCGTTGTCAAGGGGACTGGAAGGCAGCGGGACAAACCTGCCGGCGCTAAAAGAGGGGAGGCTCACTCTCTGTTACCCGCAGCGGGGATGAACCCCTCGTCTCGTGGGTTTCCGCAGTTTCCCACTCGCCTCCGGTTGTCCACTTGCTCTGTCCCCGGGCTGAACAAGGCCACCCTCCGCAACCGGGCGACCCCTCCTCCTCCTCTTTGCTGAGCGCTGCCATCTCATTGGCTGCTGTGGCGGGCCAATAACAGGGAGTCCGCCATCTTCCCGGAGTGCTCCGCGCGCTCCACAATCACTTCCGGGGTGGGCCGGGCGCAGGGCTGTTTCCCTGTGAGGGGACGTGCGGCTGCATCTGGAGGGTGGCGCGGGAAGCGAGTGCCTGCAGGTAGGCCGGGCCCGGCTGGGATCTCTGAGAGGCGGTGCCTGAGGCGCCCTGAGTCCGCTCCAGCGGCCAGCCGCGGCGCTCGCAGGGCTCGGGGACGTGGGCCCGGCCCCTTGGTGCTGGACTGATGGGTCGCGCGAGGTGCCTGCCAGAGCGTTCAGCCACGCGGGACCCGATAGGGCCGGACCCGCGCCGCGCTTCTGGGCTGCAAGCGCTCCCCCGAGGCCTTGACGGATCTCTTGAAGGAGTGGAGTTAGTTGCTTAAGAAGACAATTTTTTAAAAGAGTAACAAGTATCATTGCTGCTATTGAAGTTCTGGTAGTGAGGTGCAGAAGGCTCGAGTCGATTTTTGGGGAGTTGGTTTTTTGAGTTTGGGTGGGTGCGGTTCTTGTAGACCAGGCTGTCCTGGAACTCACAGACATTTGTCTTCCAAGTGCTGGGATTAAAGGCATGTGCCACTATGCCCCTCAGATCGTATGTTTTTTTTTTTTTTTTTTTGTTTGTTTTTTGAGTAAGCATTTCATGTATCCCAGGTTGGCCTTGAACTCCTAAGCAGTCCTGTTTCAGCCTCACAGCTGGAATTACAGGTGTGAACCCTTCCAGGATTATGCTTATTTTCCCCATTGGGGGAGCATGTGTCTTCTCTGGTCAGGCTCAGGAGTCTCACCCGTGGGCCTGAAGTACTACTTGAGCTTAGGCTCTGCAGCATGAGAGGCTAGTGGTTCCAGAAAGCAGCAGGCCTGTTTTCAACTCGCCAGCACACTTCAAGGGCTTGCATACTGTCCCCCAGATTGGTGGTTTGTCCTTTATTATTATTTTTTAAACTTAAGGTCTTGCAAGCTATTTATCTGTGATGCTTATCACTGAGACATATCCTCAACCATCTTTCTGCTTTTTAAAATCTCACTAAGTTGCCCAGGCCGTTTGTGATTTTGAGCCTTCTTCCTCCATCAGGAACTGTGCTGCCAGACCCAATTTTGTCTATTTTGGCACTCACCAACACTGAAGACTGCTGAGGTGTTTAGGAGCAGGGAACTAATACTTTCTGGGTACACACTTCCTTCGGGCTTCCTTCTGGGTTTGCCAGAACTCTTTGAGTATGGGTGATGGTGTTCTGTATCCCCTTGGTCACTCCTGCAGTGGTTCTGACCACCAGCTGGGACCCAGGTGGGCTCTATGCCAAAGCCCAGATCTTTCCAACTTGCTGTTGTGCTGCGCTCAACTCTGTTGGGTCAGGTTGGGGCCAGTGCCAACCTGTGAGAGTAATGACTGTACCAGGGCACCATGATTGGGTCATGGAGGGATTCTGCCACTTGAGATGGTTTGGGGTCACTGAGGATCCTTAGTACCAGTGACCATTTAGCTGGGTATGGTGGCACATGCTTTTAATCTCAGCAAAGATAGGTGTATATTTGTGAGATCAAGTTGATGGTGGTTTACAAATTGAGTTCCAAGCCAGCCTGGGCTACACAGTGAGACCTTGTCTCAAAACAAAACAGTGGCCCTTTACACAGTGAGACTAGAACACAAAGCTGAGGCCCTTCTCCCTGTAAACTGCCATTGTATCTTCTCCCACCCCCTTTGTAAGGCCTTATGCATGGGGCAACTGCTGTATCCAGAGCTCTCCTCTCCCTTTTCTGACTAGCTTCCTGTTGCACCTAGACATAGGAATCTACTAGGACATTAATGGCTTGGCTTTGGATTGAGCAGGGTTCCCCAGAATAAAGGACTCACACACTTGTTGCCATTGTGGTGGTCCATTTTTCCTACTTAAAAGAGTTGCATAGGTAGATTCTTGCTCAGGTAACATTTGCTGAACATCAGGGATCACTTCTATAGTCTGTGCTAGGAATTTTCTTCCTGCTCCCCTTCCTTGTCCTATTTTTCCTTCCTTTTCCCCCTTCACTTCCTCTTTTTTCTTTCCTGTCTCCACCTCCTGAGTCACATACTTAATGGCATCTTCATACATAGCCTTCCATCTGGCTTGTTTGTGGATATGGAAGTGTTCAACCACTGCATGACTAGTCCTTAGAAAGTTTTAATTTTAAAATTTTATTTTTGTGTTAATTATATATGTATGGGCGGGTATGTGCATATGAGTGTTGGATCCCCTGGAGCTAGAATTACAGGCAGTTGTAAGCTGCCTCATGGATGCTGGGAATTGAACTCAGGCCCTCTATAAGAGGGGTACACTTTCTCAACTCTTAAACCATCTCCAGCCCTGGTTTGTTTTAAAAGTCTTAAAATTATATATATGCATGTGTGCACCAGTGAATGCAGATCCTCAAGGAAGCCAGAAGGGGTTGTTGGATCCTCTGACACTGGAGTTAGAGGAGGTTGTAAGCCACTGTTCAGGGAGTTGAACTTGGGTCCTCTGTGCAATTAACACCGGAGCCATCTTTCTGGGTCCCACTCTTAGTTTTATTGAGAGGGGATCCCTGTGTAGCCATGCTGGCCTTAAACTTATATACTCCAGGCTGCCCTGAAATTCATGATCCTCCTGCCTCTGTTCTACCTTCCCAGTGCTGAGATGACATGGTATGCCACCATATCCGACTTCCATGTATTTGTAGCAGTATCCCTTTTAGACATCCATGTTAGTGAGGAACTAGGGACTAGAGATGCTGGACACAGAGCTAAATTTTGATGCACACCCAAATTCAGCAAATAGTTCTAAATAACTCAGTTTGCACTATTTTACTAGCAAAGGAGAGGTTTTAGGCTCCTGGAAAATGTGACTGTAGAACCTGTAGTGTGAAGCAGATGCTCCCATCTCTGTCTGGTGGCAAGCTTACCAGTGGTCCTGTAATGGCACTGCTGTTTGAAGAAAGCTAAGTTAGCCTCAGTGGCTTTAGTTTCTTAGGAATGTGATGATAGACTGCCGTTAGTAGTAGTCTTTTATCCTTGGAACATCCAGGGAGGAAGAACTAACCCCTGGGCCTCCCTCTGCAGCCATGTCTGAGCTCAGTGATGAAGCCAGTGAGCCGGAGCTCCTGAACCGAAGCTTGTCCATGTGGTATGGGCTTGGTGCACA